GGTCCCGGTTTCGATCACCGGCTCGGCCCTACGTTTTGCAGGCTTACTGCACAATTCATTTCACGGAAATCTTCGATTTTCTGTGATTGTTGAGCATGAATATTGACTAAATCAAGAAAGGCAGGTGAGTAAAATCAGTATATGTTACCCTGATTGTTAGCCATTGGCATCAATAATCAAACCTCATAAATTCGCAAATTATCTTTGTAGTCTTTTTTCGTAAAATCATATATGGTAGAATTGTCCATAACTACTCCAGCTGTAAATGGCTCTGTTCAACTTTCTGCTCGAAAAATTCCACTTCTTACAAAAGATTTTTTCGATAGTCTAGGAAAGCATTCGCTAGGAAATTTTCCAAGGTTCAAATTTCACATATTCACTGAAATTGAGCAAAAGACGTTCAAGCATTGAACGAATCAGAACAAAAAGTGTGACATTCGGTATTTTTTGTGTTTATGAAATGAGCTACAGTGGTCATGCCTTTTTTGGACTATTCGATTTCTGTTGATGTCTCATCATCTTCCTTTCTTTTTTGAAAAAGCTCCCCTCCTTCCCCCTTTTACCAGCAGCTGAACAATATGCAAACCCCATTGACGTCGACGCCTATCAATCTGCAATCGTTCTGCAATTGCAGTTTTCACAACACACTGTTTCCGCCGCCGCTGCACACTGCGCCTACGTACCACTTGTGCGCTCGGCGTTTTTTCACGCATGCACTGGCTACGGCGCCGTTAACTTTATCGGACTCCACCCCGTACGCGGCATTTTAGATGCCACCTGCTCCCTATGAAGTCACTTCAGCTGCTTATCTATACAGTATAGCAAGAAATGCGGTAGGATTACGGTAGTTGCCGGACGCGTTACGGTAATTTCGTCTTTCTATACATTATTTTTCTTTACAAATATGTAAGTTAACCAACGTAATTACAGTACTTTTGGAATACCTACAATCGCGAACTTCTACAGTATACTACCGTCCCATAACCGTACCATATCTGTGCGCAGGTGTTATTAATACCAATGAATACCATACCGTTGCTTGACAGTACACTACCGTAATCACCGTATTCTTGGCATACATCCCGTACAGTCGCACGTTTACAGTATGCTACCGTAGTTACCGTTTTTTAGCGGGAATACCGCACAGTACACTTATAGTATGATACAGTGACTACCGTAATTATCGTATTTTTGGCGGGAATATCGTATGCTTACAGACATCTATGATATGCTACCGTACTACAGTAA